AAAAAAAAAAAAAAAAAAAGAGCCCATCCAGTGTGGCTCAGTGGTTGAGCATTGACCCATGAACCTGGAGGTCACAGTTTGATTCCTCATCAGGGCACATGCCTGGGTTGCGGGCTCAATCCCCAGTAGGGGGCGAGCTGGTGGATGATTCTCTCTCATCACTGATGTTTCTATCTCTCTCTCCCTCTCTCTTCCTCTCTCTGAAATTAATAAAAACATATTAAAAAAAAGAAAAGAAAAGAAGGCTGGCTGGCTGGCTGAAGGGGTATATACATAATAACTGAGAAGGCATATAAAGCCATTTGTCCCCTATACAGCTCTTTCAAATTGTTGTGTTTGAATATTTTCATAATAAAATACTGGAGAAAAAAATTCCCAAACACAGTATCATTAATATATGGACTACATTATATGGAATGAGAGTGTCTGAAACATTCTAATTTATATGCACCACTGAAAAAACTAAATAAAGAAACCTGTGAGCCCCGGCTGGTGTGGCTGAGTTGGCTGGAGCGTCATCCCAGGCGCTAAAGGGTCTCAGGTTCAACTCCCAGTCAGGGCACATACCCAGGTTGTGGGTTCGCTCCCTGGTCAGGGTGCATACTGGAGACAATCAATGAATGTTTCTCTCTCTCTAAGAAAATCAATAAAAACGTATCCTTGGGTGAGGATTAAAAAAAAAGGAAAAGCAACCTATGACTGTCATCTTGACTACCTANCTCTAAGAAAATCAATAAAAACATATCCTTGGGTGAGGATTAAAAAAAAAGGAAAAGCAACCTATGACTGTCATCTTGACTACCTACTCACCTTGGTATCCATCCACCTCTCCCATCCCCGCCCACCCCCTTTCTCTGGACCCACTTCCTCCTTTGCCCCCTAGAATAATCACAATTACACTTCATGTATGTCCCTTCATATAAGATTTAAAAAAAATAAACCCATAAAAATGAGAGATCTCACAAAAATTTGGTAGCATGTATTTTCCCATATAATAGACTTAGATCATACATAGATTACTGCATTTTCTTAATAGCTAAAAAGTATTCTACTGTACAAGTATTATAACTTGTTAAAATCTACCAATTAAAACCAATTCTCTACTATATTTTCTCCTAGTTTGTTCATTTATTCATTCATGTTTAGATTTTTGGCCAGGAAACATTCCTAGAGTGTATGTCTATCCATTACAAATAAATGGGGAAGAGGAAAAGTAAAATGAGTACATAATTTGAGTACACAGAATATGGTAGGTGCTTTAATACACATTAGCATTAAGTCTCAGCACAACTCTACAAAACACTTATTTTATAGTTGGGGCAAATGAGATTTAAAAGCATAAACTTGCAAAGGCAAAAAAATTATTAGGAAAACAAAGAGAATTTAAGGCCAAACTGAAGCTTTGGCCCTTTTCTTCTCACCTATAATGATGAAGTAAAGATATACATGCATTTTACATACATGCAATGTGTATACTTTTAGAATAAAAATTTCAGATCATTTGATTGAAATGAATGTCACAGAATTATGGAAATAGCATCATACTGATTCCAGTCTTGGCAAAATAATTCAGCTGAAATCAATCTACAAAGTCTTAAGCTGGAAGGACTGTTGACACAGTGCTTGGAGAAGACAAGGCACTGAGAGAACATTCACTTTTTAAAAAATAATGTAATACCTAAAATACATTTTTACCTGAAGACATTAAGAATATAAATAATAAACTTTATCAGATTTAAAATGTAACCTTAAATGTAAGCTTTATCAGATGTATATGTACTCCACATTAAAATGGCCACACCAAGTTTGTTTCTAAGAAGTCTCCTTGAAACATTTAGAGATTAACTTACTGTTCTGTTTGCAGAATGTAACCTGTATAATTAGAATACTTCTGCCTTAGAAATGTAATGTCTTCACCTACCAGCAACATACATCACTACTGGAAAAATCAGTACCCATGCCTCACCGATATTCCGGGCCTTCACATAAAGCGGCTTGGTTTTTCTTGTCAGTTACGAAGCACCAAGACCCGCCCTCTCAGCTTTGTCTCTATAGGCTGGACTGTAATAAATGTTGCATCTCANTGGCTTGGTTTTTCTTGTCAGTTACGAAGCACCAAGACCCGCCCTCCTCTCAGCTTTGTCTCTATAGGCTGGACTGTAATAAATGTTGCATCTCACATTTATTTTAAAAGGCTTGCTCTTATTCTTCACAACCATTACTTTATCCACAAGCTCAATGTGCTTTCCAAGCAGAGCGCAGAATAAGCAACAGGAGAAGTGAGTACGAATACCTGCTTTATGGCTTGCTGGGCCAAGAAAGCCATCTGCAGGGGGTTGGGCTTTATTGCTTGCCGTGGCATACTCTGGGTTGGTGGGTATCTCAGCTGTTGAGGATGAGGAGGGAGAACTGGTCCATTGGGTTTGGGGCTGTGATTTTGAAAATTTATCAAACGTGGAGGGGGTTGCTGAAAAAAAGAGATTAAACCAATTCAGTGACAATCATCTCCTGAAAGACAAATTATAGAGAACTCTGTTTTTTAACTTTTACAGAAACATAGCAACTCTGCCACAGATGAATCATTTATTAACACTACAGCAAGGGTATGGGGGAAGGAGGCAGCCTTCCAGAATGTGTAGAAGTAATTTTAAAGAAAAGTTTTATTAAGAGCCTTGCTACAGGGGTTTACAGTTCTAAGTAGGTTATACCAGGATTGGGCCTAGGCCATGTGGGGAAGTAGGGAAAACTAATCTTTGGTACCCTTCTCTGTCCTTGATGATTATCTTTTACAAAGAATTGCCCTCTTCAAACCTCATAAATAATGTGGTGGTAAAATAATAATGCCAATGTTTATTTAGCAGTTATTACATGCCAAGTACTGTTTTAAGTTCTTTACATGTGTTAATTCATTTAATCTTCACAACAATCCTGTGAGGTATGAAGAATTTAAGTGTCTTGTCAAAGATTAACAAAGATAGTAACAGACAGAGCTGGGATCTGAACTCAAGTACTCTGGCTCCAAGGTCTGCACTCTTAACCAATAAATCATTAATAATGAAAACAGATGATATTAAATAACATTAAAAAATAAATGAGTTTTAGATCTTATTGCGATCAAACTATATGCCAGGCATTGTGATCAGCATTTTTACTTTCCCCTCATTTTACAAATTAGGACACTAAGCATTAGGAAGCTTAGATAACTTGAAAAAAGCCACACAGTTAGTAAAAAGGCAACACTAAGGCTTTTCTCCAAATCTAGTCTGCCACATCATTACCAAAACATGTTCTGGTGTTTAGCTTGGGGTTAAGATACTAATTACAGCTTAGAGGATGAGTTTCCCTAAAATAAAATAGATTTGAAAGGAAACTCTTCAAGGACAAAATTGGTTGATTACAGGATAGGGCAAGGGCTGGGAAGACAAGCTTACTTTGCTCATAAGTGCTAGCCCTAGAATTGAGACCAGTGTTCTAGAAAAAGGTAACCTTATATGCCAGTCTCATATTGACTATCCAATTCTCTTAACGGTTCACAAATTATTGCAAATGCTTACTTTCAGGCTATCTTAACTGTTTATTTTTATGACTAGAGCTTCGCAGAGAGGGAACTATTAACTCCCACATTTACAAGGGGACAATAAATGTGGAATTTATAAAGCTGAAGTAGCAACACCTTAAACTTTGACACTGTGAAGGCAGATAGCTAGCTATAAAGTGTATCGCCCCACCTCCTTCCTCTCCCATTTTTGGAATTTCCTCTCCTTTCCTGGGTAATATTGTTTCTCTCTCCCCTCTTACAAATTAATTAGCACTGGGTAGCACCCTCAGTAACTTTCAAGAGTAGCCAGTAATTACAGAACCAATGAAAAATAGGTTTAAATATTGTATCAAGACCAAGGGACATTTTGTGGGTGAAGAATAGAAAAATGTTAGAGAAAAACAGAAAAATGTCAAAACTTTACAGAAGTAAAAGGCTTGAAGCAACAACAATTGTTTTTGATTATTCTATTAAGGTTTTGTGATTTGAAGGGTTTTATATCACAGAAACACAAAGAGAAAATAGTTGGGAAATTATAGTGGAAAAACTTCTAAATTTATAGTTTTTTAAAAGTGGAAAAGCACCCAAAACAATCCTTAAGGGGGAATAAAGGCAGCTGTAGACATTTTTGCTACTCTATCACATCCTCGCCTAGGTCCATACGGATTCAGTCTAGGAGAGGCACCTAGCACCACAGAGGCACCTAGTGATGTTGTCCCTGCAGCCTGGGAAGGTGTGAGGTGGGTTTTTTGCCTCTCCTAAACTATAATGTTGATTAATTTCTAACAACCCTCTGACAAAGGAAGCAGCCTGAAAGAATAAGATTAGGAACTAGTTATGAGCATTAAAAAAATAGCAAAACCAATGGAGTCAATTAATATGCAAGAGACAGAAGGAAAAAAGGGAGAGAATAAAGAAATAGAGATCTTAAGGAAACTGGCATATCATTACCCTCATCTTCATTCTAAGTACCTTCAGTACTACAGGTTTTTATTTTATTCTGGGTCAGTAGTTCCCAACTGTGTAAAACCATGAAGGATAGCAGATGTCTTTCTAACATCCATCCACTGTTTAGGGAAATTAATGTACACACAAAAATGAAAATATTTCCACAGCAGTAAATCTGGCTCAGGATGGAGAAATATTGCTGTGACTTATGTATAAAATAACATATGTGACAGTGCTAACAAACTTAGATCTGTCCAGCCGTGTCTAATTGAGTATACTGTGTACTGCTAAACAAACAGTGCACAATGTCTATCGAGTTTGTATCACTGTCATGTAACTACTTATTCAGCCTCTGCAGGTATCACCCAACTCTTTAACCATGCAGAGTACATGGTTAATCTTTAGAGGAAGAAGAAATAAGGAGCTATCATGTAAGTGATCTTTAGAAGCAGTCCTTTAAATTTACCTGAACCCTATGGACAGATGTATAGCACAATTTGAACATATCCATAAGCAAGGAATACACATACACACCTGCTTATAGACAGTCATTTTCCCACATGAATATGCAAATAAACTGATAGAAAACTAAGAATGTAAGCAGGGAAGTGTAAAAATTTACAGAGGAGTGCAAATTGACAAGTGGAAAATGTATGAGTGAATATTTGGCAGAGCAGCTAAAAATGAAAGATTAGAGTGTAAAAGAAGGTTCAGGAATCACTGAGAGTCAAGAGAAAAANAAAGTGTAAAAATTTATAGAGGAGTGCAAATTGACAAGTGGAAAATGTATGAGTGAATGTTTGGCAGAGCAGCTAAAAATGAAAGATTAGAGTGTAAAAGAAGGTTCAGGAATCACTGAGAGTCAAGAGAAAAAGAACAGTGTAAGGTAATGACCAAAAGATGCAAAAATTACCTTATTTCTAAGTGAGAAAATTAGGTTGTATAAGAGAGATTGTACATTATATAGACTATGGAGCAGTAAATCCTAGAGAGGAAATATAAGATCAAAAGCAAATTTCTGATACATAAGCAAAAGGCTCAGAGGTCACTTCTGTCATTGCTTATATAAATAACTATTTGTGGCAATACAAGCAAGTCACACAGTACCTATTAGCTGCCTCAGTTCCTCACTTCTTACTGAAAAGGCAATTTATTCTTTTTCAGGTTAACTATTAAATACAAATCACTTGAACATCTCTCAGACACCTAAGATAAATATTAATCATGCAAATGCTTAGCACTAGGCACTCAACAACTAATTATTGCTCTCTCTTCTCCTCTTCACATTTATCTTCAGCAAAAATTTTTGGCATTCTTTGCAGTCTATCTGCAATACGTCACTGCAGTCTGCAGAGGTAGTAACAAAATTAGTCCTCAATTTTCTTAACAAAATTTCAACTTCACCAGTTTCACTCCTGGTATCTAAAGCGTACAATTCTTTTCCCATGGAACACTCACCAAAGACCTCTTAAATTGCTTGTTATTTACTTCCTGTGAAAACCTGGGTTAAAACAAAGTTTGGGAGGAATAATCAACTGGGTATACTAATATTCCCCTGGATCTGACATGCCTTCCTAATCGAATTACTAGAAAGCCATAAACCTCAAATACATCACCTCAGGCCTTCAAAGAAGCAATTTAACAAATCAGCATCCACATGTGCCCACAACTTTTTTTCAGAATTAAAATAAGAGTCCTATGAAGACCATTTCTATGTTTTGTAAAATTTCTACAATACTACTACTATGCCATCTAATTGTTTTTTCATAAAGATTCACATTATGTCTTTCTCTTAGTGCTAGTAAAATGTTTCTCCTCTGACATGTTTTCTTTTTGTCAAATAATATAGGTATTATTTCTATTTCTTTTTCTTAGGTTGCCAAAAAATTCTGAGCTAAGGCTTGTTCTCAAGTATAATGAGAATTCTTAGCCTAGTTCTACACACTTGGACTCTTATTAAACCCCATTCCATTTCATTTGTGTCATTTACTGTCACTTCTCAGAAATAGAAAAAATATAGTTTCATAAATATATGTAACCAAAAATAACAATTTGTATGACTCAGACTTTATACTCCTTACTAAAACCTTTATTAAATCTAAGCAGGCCCACATCTAAACTGAGGATGGTTAAAATATTTAAAGTACATAAATATTTTATCTTAAAAATTGTATTAGAAGTAAATATTTAATAATTAGTGAAAATAAGGATGGTTCATGAAATATTTGCTCAGAAATAAAGTTTGAAAAAAGCATATTTCTAATGAACCACATCCCTGCCCTTCTCTATTTCATTTTGCCCTAGTTTCTAAGATGCAATGTGGTTTTCTAAACACTGCATCCCTGCGTTGTCTATAATATTAAGACAATGAAGAGTATATGAAGATAGATGTACCATCTAAATAAACCTTTTTTTTTTTTTAAGGGCTAAAATCTAGAAGTTAAATCAGGGATCCTAATGCAATAAATTTTTATAAATTCATATATTTAAATCATAGATGATGGATGTCTTGGTCATTTTAAGAGCTGCTGAATACAATTGTACTATAATTATCTAAGTTAGGACAGGCCTGCTTCCAAATTTACCTGATGAGAGATGGAAGGTTGCTGGATGGGCCCCTGCATTCTAGGGTTTGGTAAACCCACAGGTGCTGGCCTCCGTTGCACCTGTTGCCTCTGAGCCATTACCTGTTGCTGCATATGCTGGAGTCGTAATTGAGCTAGGCTGATCTGTGTTGGAAACTTGGATAACTGGTTTGAAGATAAGCCACCTTGTGGCTGTGAATTCTGTTCCACGACAGGATTCTGCTTAGGCATTTGTGGTTGACTCTCTTTATCTTCAATTACTAAAGAACCTAATTAAAGAGAAAAGGTTAAGTTCTAAAGCTTTTCTGATAGTGAAATACTACATTTTGTAAGGCTATTCTTGCTCAGCTTCCAAACTGCCAAGGAACTTTTCGATCTCAGGAGACCTTTACACTCTTAGAAATAGGATGCCCTAAAGAGCTTTTGTTAATGGAGCTTCTATCAAAATTTACCATATTAATAACTAAAAATGAGAATTTAAAAAATTTTTACTAATTCACTTAAAAATAATAAACCCGTAATACCACACACCTTTATGAAAAATAACTATTTTTCAAAGTCAAATTAGTGAAGAGTGGCATTGTTTTGTATTTTTAAAAATCTCTTTCACTATCTGGTTTAATAGCTGAACTCTACCTTTTTCTGCATTATCTATTGTAATATATTGTTTAGGTTGAAATATCTGAAGGAAATCCAGCCACACACGGATATGTAGTTGGAAAAGGGAGGCTTCTGTAGTTCCCTGAAGGAGCCTCAGACTGTATTTTGAGAACTGCTGTTGTATATTAAAACAAACTAAGCAAATTTGACATTGTTTCTAAAAAACAATCCCACGAAGTATTTCTGTTTCTTTAGTATTAATAATTTGTAATCTCTCAAATTCCTTACACCTTCATAGTACATACTATGTCAATTTTATGATAGAGAATACTCTGAGTGGCTTACAACCACCCTTACAGAGTTTAAAGGTGCATTTAATAGGTCTGATCCAAGCATAAGGCAAAGCTTAATATTTTTTTAACCATAGAGACTCAAGTAAATGTTTTAGATTTACAAAGTATAAGCATCCTAAAAATATGTGGTTATCATTCATTAAATACTTACTGTGTGTTAGGCACTGTGACAGTAGGTCTATGTATATTCTTGTTAAATTCCTTTTTTACGGATAAAGGATCTAAGATTCAGAGAGATTGAACAACTTACCCAAATCACCAAAATATTAACTGAATATTCATCTAGATCAATATTTTCCCTTGCACTATGAAAGATGTTTCTCAGAAGCCATGGATAAACAAGTCTGGAAAACTTATCTCCTTGGAAGATTTAAAATGTAAATTTAATTACAAATGACAATTTACAGAGCTATAAACAACAGCTCTGAGAAGTCCTATAGTAAAGAATATTATTTAACTTTATTGTATCAGAGTTTCACAAACAGGAGATGCTGTTTTTATTGTTTTTGCTGATGTAGACCTAAAACTATATCCATTTATGTATATATAGTTACACATATATTCTTAATTTCACCTATGCTTACTTATATCTATATTGTAGGTGACATGTTTATAAGTGCATATCTCTACAGATATGACTACTTGTGTGGATATATAAGTGTAATAGGTTCTCTGTATAGTTGAACGTGGCTTGGTAGGATGGGGCAGGGTTACGAGATAGTTACTTAGACACATGCTTTGTATTCATTAAGATGCTTCTTTTCAGTAATATAGGTGAACTGTTTACAAGTACATGTATCATTTTTCTTTAAGGGGTCACCCTTAACATTATTCTGTTTGTTCTTGCCTTGTATGGGTGAGCTCTGTGTAAGCCTATTTCTGCCTTTCCTGGTGTGTGCTGAGAATACTAGCTTTCTTTCCTGCCATGTCTTCCTTTCCTACCCAGGATCTAGCCTACAGAATGAGAGAGTAACCATTTTTGATGATTTTGAAACATAGTTAATGAGCCCTATGCTGTCGTCAATGGGAATATTGGTAGTTGATGAAGAATGTGTAGAGAATTCTTAAATTTAAGTTTCTATAATTTCTCTGTGAGAAAATAAGGGGGCAAAAAGTGAAAGCTTTTTCTCCTACAAATAATGTAACAAGATAACTAAAATATTAACTTCCTGCTGAACTGCCTGCAAGGATGGTTGAGCTCCTAATGTTACCAAGATGACAGTTTTCCTTTCTGATAATTCAGTGGACTCTAACATTTAAAATTTGGGCACTTTTCTGTATGCACATTACACTTCAATTAGGAAATTTAAAAGAATATATATATAAAATTATTACATAAAAGGCAAAAGAAAAAGACATAAGAAATTTTCCCCCCGAACAAGGTAAAGCAAATGAATGACATTAGCTGTTTGATGACTGGATCTAAAGAGTAAGCAAGCCAATAATGGTATGAGAAATACTACTTTATCAGCAAACATTCTAAATATCAAACATCCTTTCAATGGCAAGTCACAAATTAAGAGTTTTGTCAACCCATTATGATAAAAAGTTCAAGCAAGAGTCTATGAAAACTAGAACTTCTTGATCCCACGTCAACAGAGGATGCTTCATACCACCCAAATATTTACATGTGTGTTTATATTCATGCACATGTCACACATACACACAGGTTAATAAAATACTAGCAAAAATTCCATGTCTTTAAAACACGGTAATAAAAATACTTTGAGGGTGGAAGGAATAAATTTTCAGTAACATATCATAATCATTAAGAGTTCCAGAAACAAATGGCACTTGGGAAAATGCACATAATGACCTACCTAAATTGATAATATTTTGAGCCCAGAAACTAGGATCACAGTGAAATTGGATGGTATTGTTGGTCACTGGTGAAGCATCACACCTTGCTCGAAGGAGGTGCCGTAACCGGTATATAATCTAGAAGAAAGAAGTCAATTAAAACATCAATACCATTATCAGGCCAATAATTTACTATGCTCCCAGTAATTACACAAAAAATAGTCTCTTGTATGTATGCCAACACAAAATAAACAATAAAATATAAATTATAAAAAGTCGACATATAACAATTTTTTCAAAATGTCAAAAAATTTGAGGTATAACTCAGTTGGCTATGCTGTTGAGTACAAAACTAAAAAGTATCTTAAAGTGATAGGTTACAGTCAGTTTCTTAATAAAACTTCACAGAAGCATCAACTAAGTATTTGTAAAATAAAAATTTAACACATTTTGCTCTTTTGTTTATTTTACTTACTTTTTTAAAGAAGGATTCAGAATTTAGATTAGGTGGCTAATGAGTTACAGAAATGAGAAATTAAATCTCTGCTAAAGAAATGTAAGTAGAGCCCAGAATTAGGCCTGCTAGTTAGTGGGATGGTTCTCCTTGTTCCTATGTTTTGGGTCTCTTGTCATCAACCCCCAACCTCGCACTCTGCCCACAGGCAGTCCTTAGTGAATACTTGAAGAGTTTAGCTCCTGGTTCACTATCACCATCTTTGCCATTACTCTTATCATAGTATATTATGTCGATACCACAGAATTTTGACTGTCAGCTACATGCTGGTAAGACACAAGCAAAGTATTATTGTAACAAAGTTACTTTTAAAGTTAAAAAATGTTTTTATCTGCCTTTGGCAAAAATAAATAAAAAAATAAAAAATCACAAACCAAAACCCAAGGGGTTGGCGGGGGAGGCTTTACATTCATCTCTAACACCCTAATCCCAAATAGGTGACCTGGAGCTTCTAATCTGTGAACATGAGCATGATGATAGTGCACACAGCCATCAGGAAGTGCAAGAAGGACCTGTGCGTCTCTGTCAGCTAAAAATGGTATTTTTAAAAATCAACACAGTAAAAACCTCACTATAACAGACTAATTTGGGCTAGGGGGTGTCCGTTAAAGCCGAAAGTCCACTATAGAATAAAATAGGTTTTCTGAATGCCTACTTGTTAAAATTTGTTGAAAATAACAGTGAATTGATAACACAAAAAATAAGCAAATCTTGGTTAAAAGCATTTTAAAATAAACAGGGTGTTAATGTTCACATATGACGTATGGACCAGATATTTTGTCCATTAAATCCAAAGTCCATTAAATCAAGACTTTACTGTATACAGGGTGGGCAAAAGTAGATTAATAACAATAAATAATACAATAATTAATAAGTAATACAAAAATAAACTGTATTGCATACTCACAACTGTTAACCTACTTTTGCCCACCTGTTGTTTTTTCTTTAAAGATTTTTTGATTTTTTTAGAGAGAGGGGAAGGGACAGGGAGAGATAAACATCCACATGAGCATGAACCATCATCTATTGGCTGCTTTCTGCACACCTCCTACAGGGGATTGATCCAGCAAACTGAGCATGTGTCTTGACTGGGAATTGAACCGGTAACCTTTTGGTGCACAATGGAATCACATTGGCCAGGGCATTTTTTATCAGTTAAAATGTGTATTCTTTATCAGTTAAAATTAGAACTAGGTAAAAGCTATTTAAGCACAAAAAGACTAGTGATCATTTCTGGATTTTAAGCATTCCAATAACTCCACTGTTTCTGTATTCTTTTTTCCCTTTTTAAAATATGTTTTTATTGATTTGAGAGAGAGAGAGACAGAGAAGCATCGATGTGGGAGAGAAACATCAGTCGGATGTTTCTCCTGCACGCCCCCTATGGAGGAACAAACCCACAACCCAGGCATGTGCCCTGACGGGGAACCAAACCTTATGGTACATGGGACGACACTCAACCAACGGAGCCACACTGCCCAGGGCTCTCGTATTCTGACGGAATATTAAATGCCACGCTTGGTCCACCTTACCAGTCGCTTGCTGTAAAGTAGTGCTGTACTGCTGCCACTGGACACTGCCCATTTGGAAAAATGCATGACATGTTCCAGCTGTTTAGAAAGCCCAGCCACTTCCTGTTGTTGTTGCATAAGTTTCATGCGATGGTCCTTTGCAAGGCTCTGAAAAGAAAATAATTTCAAAATTAGTTCAGCCTATAACATTTTTTAATGGTCATTTTCAGATTACCAAATCAGAATAACCACCGCCTCGAAGAAACTAAAAATACTCTTAGTGTTGCTTTTCCCCCTTTGTACAAAGGATTAGTCTTACTGCAGCAAAGCACTGTGCCCCAACCGACACTTACAGCCACCGCTGCCACTCCCACCTCTGCCTCCTTGGCCGCTACCCCCCCTCAGTCTGGTTTTATATATTCTGCGATTTAGGTTTCTGTTCATGTATCTTCCAATATCCAAAAGGAGCAAAAACTGTAGATTAGCTATAATACAGTAAATGCCTGTTAAATTCAATACCCACAAATAAAATAGATGTGCCCCCCCAGTAATCCAGTCAAGTTACCAGATCACGTGATTTACTCAATCACATGATTTCATCTTTTAGGCATTCTAGTCCCCATTGCAACCAGTTTGTGCCTAGTTATGCCATACGACAGAAAACATGTATGTGGTAAAAAAGATACAATATTATTTCTGTCTAGTGAGAGTTACATGGAAACCTATTGATACAGTGACTAATGGTGCCAACGCACTCTCAGAAAAGCTACAAAAAAGCAGAACACAGAATTTCTCTATGAGGGATTACCTTTCTCCACGAGAAATACATAAGGAAGAACAAAGGTTAAAAAAAAGTGAAGAGCACTGAACTTGGGTTATTTTAAAGGTCTCTATCCAAAAATCTCCTTTACCTGGCAAGGAAAGGAAAGGAGAAGAGAGGGCTTTCCACTGGTTTCAAAGGAAGTTTAAAAGTAAAATTACTACACTCCAATATGGACTTAGTCTCAATAAAAAATGAACCTAGCCCAGCTGGCATGCCTCAGCAGTTAGGCATCGACCTATGATCCGGAAATCGAGATTCGATTCCCAGTCAGGGTGAGCTTGATCCCCAGCAGGAGGCATGCCGGGGGCAGCCAATGAGTGACTCTCTCATCACTGATGTTTCTCTCTCTCTCTCTCTCTCTCTGAAATCAATAAAGACATATTTAAAAAAACAACAAAAAAAAAATCAAAGATCCCAGCCATAGTCAGTTTCAAGTGTCAAAAATACTCANAAAAAAAACAACAAAAAAAAAACCAAAGATCCCAGCCATAGTCAGTTTCAAGTGTCAAAAATACTCATGTGCTAAACTGCATTAAGGGAAAAACCACAGTAACTGTCAATGACTTTGTCATGTCTAATTTAAAGTTCAGAGATAACCGACTTACGCTATTTCTGACCCCTGTGAAAATTGTTTATTTGGAGACATTCTAGAAAGAATAGAAATTCTGTTTACTTTTAATCAGGCTGCAAATTGAGGATCAGAAGGTCTAGTTTCTTGGTATTCCATAGTAACAACTATTTGAGCTGAGCTGATTTCTCCTGAGTCTTAGACAAAATTGAGTACATTTATTTACCTTAGAGGAGGATTCTGTGAACCAGGAGAATGGGTATGGGGACTAGAGACATATTTACAAGGTGCTGTAAAATTTGTTAGCCAATAAAGCTGATTAAAAATAATACTGATAACCAAGTTCATTTCTAGAAATTGGGGATTTGGTCATCTTTTGTTCCATCTTATTATAATAATTATTTTTTAATTTGCAAGTGATTCTGATTTACAATGAAATCTGGAAACAACCACAGCCACTACTGATCTCTGAGAAAGCAATATGAAGTTACTTTTTATTTTAAGCAGAGCTTTGAAAACATTTTAAATTGTTTAAATGCTCCTATTAAAACAGAATCAAAAACCCAGAACCTTGAAAAAATATTTCCTGTAAATGGGATCCGAGCCCTCCTGGCCAGGATAATTCTTCAATAAATATGTTTCTCAGAGAACAAAGAACTATTTTAGTCTTTGTTTCCTGTATAGTTGCTAAACTATGGTAGTGGCTGTGCTTTCTGCAGGAACGACAAAACTTTCTGACAAAGACCTTATAATTTTGTCAACTATAAAGATGTTGAACTAAATTATTTCTAGGAGTTGTTTTAATCTTCAAACATGACAATTCTTTTACTCTTTTCTCATTCTAAATTGCTTCTTTACCATGAATTCCTTCTGCACCAATATATTAGAAAAATTCTAAAATATCATGCAATTAATAATGTTAATATACCATATAGAAGGTGTAACCTCAATATTATTTGAAGTCAAACAGTGACTTTGGATCTTGACCTTCAGGAATGTAAAACAGCTGAAGAAGATAGTAATTTTTTTCTTATCTGCAGTGGGAAATAACTATTCAAAGTGCCCTGAGCATTTCTCCCGAAGTATTGGCTTTAGCAATTAACACTATAAAATGTTGAGAGTAGGAGGCACCTCCTTTTACCTAATACCTCATAAGGTTAAATGTATAGAGTTGAGAACTAAATATAGCTAACTTAGTCTATCTTTCTAAAAATTTTGTTCAATTGTACCCCACCCCTTTGGTGATACAAAATTCTCACTTTAATGAATCTCTAAAATGATTCATCTCTTCAACATTTACAGAGCTCCTCCTGCAAGCAAGGCAGTATGTTTGACACTATGAAGTAAATAATAAGAATTAAGACATTCCTACTGGGAGTATCTCCCTACTAGCTAGACAGGACGCTGCCGCATTCATGAGTTGCTTAATAAAGCCAATTAGATCTTCAAATTTACTCGGTTTTTTTCTTTAGCACTTCACACGAAGGTTTCTAGTAATTCAGCTATCCACATTTGCCTTATAGAGGATGTCAAAAACTCAAAAGTGCTTAAACTCTTTTGCTCAGAATTATTTTATTTGGACACCAACCGAGACTGAATAAAAAATTATAATCTATAAAAAAAAATCATGGCCAGCCAGGTGTTGCTCAGCGGTTGAGCACTGACCTAGGACTATCCAGGAGATAGCAGTTTGATTCCCAGTCAGGGCACATGCCCGGGTTGCGGGCTTGATCCCCAGCTGGGGGCGTGCAGGAGGCAGCCGATCAATGACGACTCTTTCATCACTGATGTTTCAACTCTCTCCCCCTCTTCCTTCCTCTCTCTGAAATTAATAAAGATATATTTACAAAACAACAACAAAAACACCATGATAGCCCTAGCTGGTGTTGCTCCGTGGTTAGAGCGCTGGCCTGCCCACCAAAGGGTCCTGGTCAAGGGTATGTAACTGGATTGCAGGTTCAATCCCCTCCACCCCAGTCAGGGCACATGCAGGAGGCTACCAATCTGTGTGTGTCTCTCACATCGATGTTTCTTTCTCTCCCTCCCTCCAACCCCCCTCTCTAAAAATCAGTGGAAAAATATCTTCAGGTGAGGATAAACAAAACACAAACAAACAAAAACACAAACAACACATCATGATATCATTTGGTTTTAAAAAATTATTACTGGAAATACCAGAACAAATGTATTTTCCATCCTTTCCATAAATAGTCCAAGTTCTGGAAATTCGGTACAGCATATATGGGCATCAACCTCATATAAGTTATTAAATAAGACTGTTCTTTCCTAGACAGCACCCATTTATATTTGCCCTCAGTTAAACTTTCTTAATGTAGATTCACTCTAGTTTTTTAGGCTACAGTACTATAAAGATTAACATTAAAAAGAAAAAGAACATTCCTGCTGTTTTATAAAACCATAACCCATCAGCTTGACAATGCAGAGCCTCGCAAAGGAAAACATGGGAATGGAGAAGAAATACTACAGAATCATAAAGCAATTATATGAAAAAGGCTGTGATTTCAAATTTACAAATACATGTGAAATTATAGTAAATCACTACAACATGCTGTCTCATTAACAGTAACTTACCTCAAGCTGATGCAGTAGAGCTTTTCCTTTTTTATTTATTTCTACCATCAATGTAAATATAGCAACTTTAATATCTTGTTCCACCTGCTTTTGATTTTGATTTACTTCAATTATCCTGAAAATTAAATGAAAGGGGGTGAGATCAAAGCAGGAAAGTTGTTTTACAATATTTAAAATTAATTTTTTAAGGTCTAAATTAGACCAAAATTTTTTCAGCACTTAAAAGCTCAGCTATTTCTAACGATGCTTCAGTTTAAATTGACTTTCTTGAAGGTAATACAGCAGAAATACAATTCTTCTGAAAGACAGTCATTTAATTCAACCTTAAAATCAAAATGCATAAAATTATAAGAGAATGGACACATTTTAAGAAAATATGGTTTGGAAAGATTATGATAACACCCAGGAAAATCAATACTCAGCATCAACAGATGACAAAGAAAACCACAACTCTGGAAGAGTTCTATTTTATTCACTGCAACTAAGAAGTAGAAAAGGGTAAATGTGTTACTCTTGTTTAGTCATCTGAACTGCTACAGTATCCATTATACCTGAACAGAAGAAGCAAAAAGACAATGTAGTTTGTTACACACATTTGTCTTTAAATAAGCAGCCAAATAACTACTTTATGTTTAATCAACCACTAAATATTTTTTTCCTTTGATTAGAAAAAATCAATTTGACATCAATATCAGCTTTAGGATAAAAAACCTAATTTAAATCCTCATGATGGTAGAACAGAATAAAAAAGGGATGACCAATACCATGTTTGTAAGTGTGTAAAAGTGAATTAACTGTCAAGTCAGTCAGTCTAGTAAATTTAATACTTCTATAATCGATAGGCTATAAAGATATAAGCAATTAACACCTAATCCAAAGATTATTTAATTTTTACCACAATTCAAAAGCCAAAATACTTTCACACAATAGTGTATTACTTCGTAAAAACAGCTTAACCACTAACAAAAGGCAAAAATAAAAATAAAAAAAATTGGAGAATTTACACTATCTGATTTTAAGACTTACTATTTAAAAAGCTACAGTAGTGGAGTATTGACAAAAAAGAAAACCACAATGGAACAGAACAGAGTCCAGAAATATCCTCATACATATATAGTCAACTGATATTCTACAAAGGTGCCAAGACAATTCAATAGCAACAGAATTTTTTCAACACATAGTGTTAGAACAAATGAACGTCCATATGCTAATTTTAAAAGTGAAATGTGACCCACAGCTCATACTATATATATTGTAAAAGAGCAAAAAAAAAGTCCAAAGGGTAAATTTCATCAAGGGTGGATCTTTCACATAAAATTAGTAATTTAACAATTGCTACCATTTGCCACTAGATGGTAGAAATGACTGTAATTATCTCTCCTTATTCTATAAATATTAATTACAAGTTTTCAATTATTCAGTTACAAAACATTTAAAACCCACCAAATCACCAATTACTCTATCTGGAAAAGTACAGTATTGTGATTAAAATATGGTAAGGGAAATATTTTTTTGGTTAACTATAGTTGTTATGTGAAAGAGAAAGGTAAAATGAAATGAGAGCTGATAAGGAATAATAACTAAAACACACACACTAAAACTGTTACCACCACAATATATAATAATGACTAACTATACTACTAATAATGGGACATCAAGAAAAAGTTAAATTATATTTAAGAATCTTTTTTTTTTTTAAATCAGGTAAACCAATGAATTCTTTGAAAAAAATTCCCAAATGCCAAACCCTAGTCATGTTCCAAAATTATAAGAAAACAGTTTATGATTGCTCTTATGGAAGATGAACCATGAAAGACTTACACAATTTTCCCTGAGAACTACACTCAAATCCCCTGTGAGGCCTCTTGTTCAGGCTCTTTCTAATAAGCATTTCTTGATTTGTTTAGGCAGACATGTTAAAAGACACAGGACATGGAATTTCATAGGTGTTGTAAAGGTTGCAAAATGTGTGTGTGCCACAAATGGGATAAAAAGGGAGCTAGACAAACTCCCTCTTCCCCAAAGAGGCCAGTGGTTTGCTCCATCAATCACTGAACTGTGAGACAGGAGCCTTGGACAGTTGATGGCATCTTCCTTTGGAGGGCAAAAATGTAACAGGCAATATGTAGAAACTACCTGACAAGGAATAAAAGGTGTGTGAAACAGTGTAACAATCCCTGGCTCCTGATCCGAATGTCTCCAACTCATTGCAGTTAAAAGATGATAGGCCAGGGGAGAAATCTCAAAGTTTAACAAGTCTTAAGTAGCATTTATGTATATAATCAAGTGTTGAAATATTTTACAATCCTGGCAAAAATAACTGATTTTTTAAATCCTGGTTTTTCTTTAAAATTAAAAAACACAGATAATGATGAATTACCAATACTTTAAATGAGCTGCTATGAAATGCAATTTATCATTGCAATAGTTTTAAATTTCTGGCTGAAAGATGCTTTCAAACCCAACTATGTGTTATTCGAGCCATCTGGCAGCTTACTTAGACCTATTTCACCATGAGTTAAATAAAGTGTCTGTTCTAAAAGTAAGTATGCTTAACACATTATATAAAAATGATTTATTATAATACCATAAATGTAAACTTACCTGTTCTGGATCTGATTTCCTGTGAATTTGATGTATTTTGTTTTTTCCATCAATTTGGTGATTAGTGTATCTATGATCACTTTCTGATTCTGAAAAGCTTCTTCTATAAATTGATATCTGAAGAAATAAGTAAATAATTATCACATGAATATATCTGTGTAAACTGAGGAAAAACCCCAAAGCAAAGAAATAATAGAAAACTATTTAAGATAATAAGAGTATAAAGGATATAAATAATCATATAAAATCCAAATATAGGGTGTCCCCCCAAAATGTATACACACACTTTGAATAATTATAAGGGCACTGTTTATTAAGATACATTTCATTTTTGAAATTGAGTTGTCAGCTGTTAAAGTGTGTATACATTTTTGGGGGACACCCTGTGTACCCCTATAAGGCAGGTTTTCCCCTCCTGTCAAAATTATCCCTTAAGAAAGAGTCTTTAGCCCAGCTGGGTGTGGCTCAGTGGCTGAGCATCAACCTAGGATCCAGACAATCGGGGTTCGATTCCTGGTCAGGGCACATGCCCAGGTTGCAGGCTCGATCAATGACTATCTCATCATTGATGTTTCTATCTCTCTCTCTCCCTCTCCTTTCCTCTCTCTGAAATCAATAAAGATATATATATATTTTTAAAAAAGAAAAAAACAAAGAGTCTTTCCAGATATTATTCATGGACACTCTTTAAATTATTTTGAAAATTTGGGAGACACATATTCATCATCATAGTTTTAGAGGATTACAGAGCTCACTTGGCCAAAAAGCAATCACAAGTATTTAAGCAGATTTATTAACTATTTTATAATTTCATAATTATGAAAGTTTGATGCTATAAACATTTTGAAGATCATTTTTAAACAATAGGCACTTTAAAATATTTAACTTAGAAGTGAAGATAACCTATGACAAATAAGATGATTCAAGAATATCTATAGAGAAAAAGACAACAATACAGAAGATACATATAAAGATTTTCATGAAAAGATTCTCATAAAATGTACAAAGTACAGTATGTTACATAATGTAATTTAAAAGTATAATTAAGTATTATAAACAGGGCTGTCAAAGTTAGAAAAAAAAGACACACAGATAATTCTATTTTTTCCTTTGTACATAATCATATTTGTAAACAATACTGTTTAAATTCCTTCTTAGGTAGCAAGTTTTTTATCTTAAACTTTTTTTCATTACTACACTGTTTGGGATCCTACTACAGTGTAATGTTAAATGAAATGTCAAAACCGTCATCTTCATCTTCTTCCTAAACTCAAAGTAAAAACTTTCAATGTTCCATTATGATGTTTACTAGTACTTTTCATAATCTTTATCAGGTTTAGGAAATTTCCTTTTATTCCTAGTTTGCTAAGAGCTTATATCATGGGATATATATCTATATGTTTTACATATATAATTATATATATAATATTTTGTATACGTATAATTATACATATATATAAATGTGTTTTTATATTGATTTTCGAGAGAGAAGAAAGGAAGAGAGAGAAACATCAATCAGTTGCCTCTGTACCCACCCTGACAGGGGACTGAACCCGCATGTGCAGACTTGGAATCAAACTGGTGACACCTGGTGCAAGGGAGGATGTCCAACCAGCTGAGCCACACTGACCAGGCCAACCATGGGTTATATTTTTAATTTAATGTTTCTTCTGCCTCTACTGAGATGGTTATATACTTTTTCCTTTATTCTTTAAATATATGAATTACATGAATATTTTCAGATGTTAAATAAACTTTGTATTACTAAAATAAGGACAACTTGGTTGTGATTACATTACCAAAAATCGTAACACTTCTGCCAAGGGTGCGTGCCTCAGGGCAGGCAACCGATGGACGTGACTCTCTCTCTCTTCCACTCTCTCTGGAAAGCAATGGAAAAAATATCCTCAGATGAGGATTTAAAAAAAAAAATCGTAACACTTCTGAATTTGGTTTCCTAATTTATTTCCTAGAATTTTATTATTTAATTACAGTTTACATTCAATATTATTTTGTATTAATTTCACGTGTACAGCATAGTGGTTAGACAATCATATACTTTACAATTTCTTAGAATTTTTGGGTTCATCTCATGGATGAGACTAGTCTGTAATTTTCTATTCTTATTCCTCATAAAATAAGCTGGAGAGAATTTATTCTTTTGCCAGTCTCTGGACAAGACTGTATAAAAAGGTGTTATTTGTTTGACTTTACCCATTTTGTAGATTAATCAGTGAAGTTATCTGGATCTGTAGGTTACTTTGTGGGGAAATTATAAATCATGGATTTACACGAAATAAAGGTACTCTAATTTTCTACTTTATTTTTTACTAGTTTTGGTAAGCTGTACTTTCTAAGAATTATCCCATTTAATGTAAACATTTTCTAGTGACAGATATCCTTTTAATATTTTTTAATGCCTTTATAAAATATGGTGATGCCCCTTTTCACTCCTATTATTTGGGCCCACTCTTTTTTTTTTTTAAATATATCTTTAATGATTTCAGAGAGAGGAAAGGAGAGGGAGAGAGAGAGAGATAGAAACATCAATGATGAGAGAGTCATTGATCGAGCCCGCAACCCGGGCATGTGCCCTGACCGGGAATCGAACCCCGATTGCCTGGATCCTAGGTCGATGCTCAACCGCTGAGCCACGCCCAGCTGGGCCGCTCTCTTCTTAATCACTCATAAAAATATTTGGTAATTTTACTAGTCTTTTTGAAAGATTCCATTTTTGGCTACTTCATTAATTTCCGCACCTGTCTTTATTACATCCTTCTGCCCACTTACTCTGGCCTTGACTTACTCATTCTACCTTGAGATCAATGCTTGGCACATTTACTTTTTTCCTAATACACTAATTTAATTATACATACTTCTGTCTAATTGTGGTTTTAGAAATATATTTAAAAAATAGTATTTTCACTATCATTCAGATAAAAATATTTTCTAATATACTATTATCAGGATTTCTTCTTTTACACTTTATTAACTGCTTATTTTGAAATAATTTCAAAGTTAAAGTTGCAACAGTACGGAGTTCTCACATATACTTTTACACTGCTTTGTTTTTCAAATATTGCCTCCTTATAGCCCTTTAATTCCCTAGTAATTAGTATACACTTCCTAACAAGAATATTCTATTGTTTAACCACAGTATAATGGTTAAATATAGGAAAACTGACATTGAGATAATACTTTCAGCTCATTTACAGACCATCTGTGGTTTGTCCCAATATTGTCCTCTTTATCATTTCTTCTCCCCCTGGTCCAGGATACCAGCCAGGAAAATACATCATTACATTTAGTTTTCATATGAATTATATTTCTTTATTTTCAAATATATGGAGATTTTTCTCATCTATTATTACTTTCCAGATTAACTGTAGTTTACACAAGACTTTATATGATTTTAATCCTTTGAAATTTAAGACTGCTCTGGCATATGGTTAAATTTTTTTCTGTTTGTTTGAAAAGAATGTGTATTATTGAGCATAGTGTTTCTTAATGTCCACGAGGTCATTTGCTAATTGATATTTGAATCTTATGGAAATATCCTTATTTTAGTGTGCTTGTTTTGCCAAATGAGATGTTAAATTTCCCACTCTAACTGTAAATTTGTCTATTTGTTCTAAGTTGTCATTTTTCTTTGTATATTTTAAGGCTATAGGGCATAAATTTAGAACTGTGTCTTTTAGATGAAGAAAACCATTTTTCATGATAAAGTTACCCCCTTTACCTCAGTGTACTTTGTCCGCTACGCCAGCTTGCCTTTGGTTAGCGTTTGTATGGACATCTTTCCCCATCATTCTATTTAGATACTTAGATTTTAGATGTTTCTCTTATAAAAAGCAAATCGCAGACTTTCTATCTTCTTCTTATCCAGTCTGAAATCTTTTAATTTGGAACATTTTATCCATTTACATTTATTATAACTATAAATATATTTATAGATCTATCAAGTCCTTATTCGATCCTAGACAGGATTTCCTTGTTGCTTTTTCTTCTTCGATCTGTATTTAAACTGACTATTATTCCATTCTCCCTCCTAAGCACTTCTATTCTTTCAGTGACTAANGTAAACTATTATTCCATTCTCCCTCCTAAGCACTTCTATTCTTTCAGTGACTAAACTTTTCAATCTCTAGGAAAATACCTCAAAGAGGAAAAAAGTCCCTACCATTCTCTGTCCCTACTCCAACCCAATCCTGGTCCAATAGTTCTTTACTACTGAGCTCTAAAATTTCTTATCAATGATTTCTGTGTTTTGTCCAGGTTTTCTAGTTATCCTCACTGATGGTTGGTCCAAATTATCTAGTCTGCCATTATTAGGAGCCTAAACCATTCTAAGCAATTATATTAGAATCTACTGCTTAAATCAGTGGTTGCTAATTCAAATGCCTTTAAAGGTCAGGTTTAAAAGTAACTTTAGTAGGAACTACGATGAATTGGAAAAGGCATGCCTCATTTTAAAGAGCACTGAAGTCAATTCCAGTCAAATGCTGACATGAAAGTATAAGGGGCCCAGGGATACAACAGCTTCCATTTTCTCAAAATACCAAAGATCTAATTTTATTTTTTAATGTAAAATCTCATTTTACATTTCACATATTTTAAAGCACTGTGTGGGCTAGTGGTTCTTAGCTCAGGGTGACTTTGCTCCCTAGGCCATGTCTGAATACATTTTTGGTTGTGACAACTGGGAGGATGCTACTGGAATCTAGTGAGTGGAGGTCGAAGACGCAGCTAAAGACCACACAAAGCACCAGACAGACCCCATAACAAAGAATTATCTCTGGTCCTAAACGTCAAATGTGCCAAAGTTGAAATGTTCCTGGATAGGCCAACATACTGTTGGCAGAACAAAACATTGCCAGCAGTCCTCTAGTCCCATAAAGCTGTATTATAAACCCATGTATATAACGAAAGGTGCTGGTACCTGTGCTCTTTATGTTCTAATAACTGGCAGTCCCGACATGTCAGTTTGTCACACGTTTCACAGTAAAGCTTTAGCTGCTCCTTCTTATGAAAAGGGCAAAACACTGGCCGCTGACTCGTCACACCCACTGCCTCTGGAGGAACGATGAGAGGCAAAAGTGAGAAAATTAACACAACTGAATAGTAAATTAGACTGCTTATTAAATTTAAACCCATTGATATATAAAAGAGCTACAATTTCATTGACAACATCACTACCACTAGGTTTAACAGATATTAAAATGTTAAGTATTCTCAGCATTTCAGAAGGAAAATATAAATGAGCTCTTTACTCTATTATAAATTCAAATTAATTCAGAAAATAAAGAAAATGTGTGGTTAAAAATATGCTTTATAAAATTAAAAAGTCTTAATAGCCCAGGATAAGTGAGTGTGAACCAATTTGATGTTTTTCTATTCCAAGTATGGGGGACATTTTAAAAAATGCAATTCAGAAAATCTAATAAAGATGTGGTAAAAAAAATTACTTCCCCATTTTTGCAAAAATCCTAACAAAGGAAACCCACTAACACAGAAATAATCACAAAGTTTTCACTATTGATTATGGTCATCCATGTAACTGCACAATAGTTAACTAGAACAGGAATAAAACTGGGCAATACTTGCTATATTGTTAAATGGAAAAAATCAGAATACAAATAAATACAATGATTAAATAGTAAACACTACCAGTTATCTCACTAATAATTAAAAGTAAAATCCAAATATTTCAAAAATAATCCCACCTCCAGAGATAATCACTATTAATAACCTAGTATGTGTTCCTTTGGATGTTCTTCTATAAATTGATATATATATATATAAATAAAACTATATATACTATATATATAGCATATATAGTATACTATATATACTATATATATAGTTTTATATATACATATATATATAAAACTATACATATATATACATATATATATATAAAACTATATATACCCACTATACTAGTGGGTATTTTGTTTTATAAAACTGAAAAAATGGCACTATNTATACATATATAAAAAACTATATATACCCACTATACTAGTGGGTATTTTGTTTTATAAAACTGAAAAAATGGCACTATACATATTGTCTTGTAAATGTATTTTCCCCCCCACTTAATTCTATCTTAGACACCTTTTCGTGTTAGTAAATACATCTACTTATTTATTAACTGTATAGTATTCTATCAAAGGGATATACCACCTGCCAGTGGCCATCTGAATGTTTCTTACTTTTCAATATTGTCTGATAGTGCTGAAACAAACAAATGAAATGCATAAATCACTGCATGTTTCCATAAGACAAGTTCCCAGTAATAGAACCGTTGGGAGAAATGGCAATTTGTATACACATAACTAAACGGTATCCAAAAAACCGTACCAATTTGTACCCCTACCAGTGTAGACTGGCTATTAGCTTACTGATAAGGTTTTCTCAATATTTTTAATCTTCACCAATTTGATAAGAAAAAAAGAGAAACATTTCACCATCTTTCGATGCATTTCTTTAATAATTGAAATGGAACAATCTGACACATTCATCAACTATTTTGTGTTTAAGAGTCTGTTTATAACCTCTATTATTTTTCTGTCCAATTCTCTTCTCAACTTATAAACACATTTAGTATTTTTTTCCAAGTGCATTCCTTAGAATTTTTAATAGAAAAATTTATTTAACAATTGGACCAACAAAATATTTTTATGTATTAATTTTATAAACCAAAAGTATAAATAAATGTTATGGGCTATTTGAATCCAGGGACATTTTCTAAGTGTGGATATTTTTGGCAGAACCAAATATCATTTGGTATGGACCAAACATGCTTACAGATGTTTTGATAGGACCAAATTTCAAGGATCTTTTCGTGTGGATCATATGTCCCAGTGGATGTTTTGAATAGGACCAAAAGTCCTGCAAGAATTCCAGCAAGGCAAAAATGGTTCAAGATGACTAATTTTAATATCTTCCCTCTGTCCTTCTTGATGATCATGTGGTCTGGACATCATAGTTGATAGGGTGACCATACATCTTTAGTTGGATTGAGACATCCTGGTCTGTGCCTTCTGTCCACAAATAATTATTTAAAAAGCTTTCGATTTATATAATTAGGACATCATATCACCCATTTATAGACTTCCTTTATTTATTGAAGAATTTAGATCCTGACTCATAGTCATCCTCCTTGGACTAAGTCTCATTATCATTCCGGATGATTTAGAATTCCACACAGATTAATGCATAAAGACACGCCTCTCAGATTTGCTCATCTCCAGAGACCTGCACTTCATTTTAGCTACTTATTCCATGTAACATACATCATGATCCCACCCTAGATTTTAGGTTGTCCATAACTGTTCCATTTCTGTATCATAAGTTCAAACATCTCACTCTAATACCTTCTTTCTAACCTTCCAAATTCTTAGATAACTACTCTCACTGTACTTCATCAATATCTCTAGTCCCTAACCATTTCTTTCACCCCATCAACTGGCACTATCAGCTTCATTTCCTTTATACAGTTATAATCCCCAAATTCTTCATTTCAGTACATGCATCTCCATCTCTTACCCTGTTGAACTTTTGGAACATATGTCCAGCTAAACCCCAACCCTAGATAAGTTCAATTCTTCTCTATACCCACATACAGACTGCTAAGGTCTGATGGAGGATATTTTAAGGCCTACAGATTAAATGTAATCTTGATGCTACCAAGCAATCCTTCTGTTTCCAAAGCTGGAGCTCTCTTTCAACTGAAGTTATTTCAAATATCCTCCATATTCCTTACCCTTCATTCCTATTTCCTCTTCTCTTTTTCAACAGATGGTTGGCTTCAAAGAAAAACAGAAGTCTTCTAGCACTCATTTATTAAATTTACCTTAATCTATCTATACCTGGCCTTTTCTCTTTTGTGTCTTTTCTTTATCAGTGTCCTCAGAAATTATAGCTCCTTTTCCTGTGTCTCCAGACTCCTAACCTCATCTCTTAGTATTCCTGCTCTTGCATCTAACTCTCCAGCTACACTCAACTTTCCTCCTCTGGAAATCTATGCACATGCTTCAATTTTCCCCACTTCTCTCCTTTATGTGATGAACTATTTATCCTTGAAGCGCCAGGCTTGGCCTCCCACCTAAGTCCCCAAATCTGAATTTGGTACTCATTCCTTTTGTGTGCTCCCATAGAACTTATGAGGCCAAATTATATTTGCTAATTTGAGCGTAGTCTTCATACTAATAACTCCTTAAGGGTAGGAAGTACCTGTTTTATTTACCTATTCATCTCCAGTACGTAGCAAAGTTCCTGGACTATAAAACAGGCATACAAACACTGGTTGACTCAATGAATAAAAAGCAGTAAAATAACTTTTTGAACAAAGGTATATTAATGAGCCATAAAAATCAACAAAATTCTGAAAAATACTACAACATGAATGAACTCTGAAAATACTGAGAGAAGTGGAATAAGCCAGACACCAAATGATACATATTGTATGATTCCACTTGTATAAAATATCTAGAATAAGCAAATTCATAGACATAGTAGATTAGAGGCCAGCAGTAGCTGGACAGAGAGGAATGGGCACTTGTTACTTAACAGGTACAGTTTCTTTTAGGGATGAAAGAAAAGTTTTGGAAATAGACAGGGGTGATGGCTACAGAACACTGTGAATGTAATTAATGCCACTGAATTGTACACTTAAAAAATAGTTAAAATGGCAAATTTTAAGTTACACATTTTACTACAATAAAAAAAGTATTTGTGAACTTTACAGTATAAGCAAAACAATAAAAAACCTGAAACCATAATTATATAAAAAGCAAAGCTTCTTTGATGTCTACATATCAAATATCACAAAACAGATTTACTACAAGCATTATCAAAGGAAAAGTTGTAAAAATTTTTTTCTAAGCTTGTCAGTCTGAGAAATAAAAGGAAAAAAATGAGAGAAAATAAATTTAAAAATCAAATTTTTTTTTTCATTTGCTATACATTCACACCAAATTAAGGCACTTCTAGGAAAGGCAAGTTGGAAGTATGAATATAAGGCATAAGAATTCTGTATCTATTCATATCTATTCATAAGTGTATTAAAACATGTCAGTGTAGAAAGGAAGAAAGGAAAAAAGATGGTGGGAGGGATAGAGAAAAAGAGATTAAAAGAACTAATTCTTTACCTGGAGATACTTCCTCTTTCTGTCTCACCGTGTGGTCTTTGGTGAACTTTACCCTTTGATGAGCTCTGATGCATGTCTTGCAGAGCCATTCAACACACTCGACACAAAACCCATTAGCTTCTGCATTGTCCTCACAGCTTGTACACACCTAATAAGAGAAGCACATCATATCAATTTTTGAGAAAACTGAAAAGGTGGTCACATCACTAGTCATATGTAAATGATACAACCATACTTGACTATCAGTTACCTTCTTAACAGGGTTTGTAAATTTAAACTGATGTAATGTTTTAAATTATAAACATATGGAATGGAAATATAAGGACAATGTCCTTAGTTCACTATAGCAAATACTTCAGGCACTATGCTAAGTGTTGAGGATACAACACTCAGGAAGAGCAAACACAGTCCCTGCCCTTACAACACCTAGTCTCACAGAGGGAATACGGACCCAAATTCCAGGTCGCCCACTTACCAGCTGAGCAGTCTTGGGCAGGCTACTTAGAATGCTCATGTTTATTTTAATTTTTTAAAGATTTTTAAAGTTGATTTTTAGAGAAAGAGGAAGGGAGAATGAGAGAGAGAAACATCAGCGTGAGAGCAGAACATTGACCAGCTGCCTCCTGCATGCCCCTCAATGGGGATCAAGCCTGAAATCCAGGCATGTGCCCTGACTGGGAATCAAACCTGCAACCCTAGGTGCACGGGACAATGCCTAACTGAGCCCCACTGGCCAGAGCTAGAATGCTCATGTTTAAAATGGGAGTAATAATACGAAATTTACTGAGTAGTTGTGAAGATTAAATGTGAGACAAACATTATTGGAATAATCATACTAATACGTAACTACAAACTGAGAAGTGTCATAAAGGAAAAGGTATGAGCTGTTAACAATATATGATGGGGAAACTGATCTCATTTTAGTAGGGTTGGAGAGATGGGGAAAGTGAGAGGAGAGATTACCCAGACAAGGCTTTCTCTAAGGAGATCATATTAGCACCAAGATATGAAAGTTAAGTCACAATTACTGATGAAAAGCCTTTTAGGCAGAGAACAGCATGTACAAAAGCTTCTGCAAAAAGAGCATAGCAGGTTCAAAGGGCTGAGAGAAAGCCAGTATGGCTGAAGTGGAGAGATCAAGGGGAAAACTGGCAAGAGAAGCCAGTGGCATGGCAGGCAGGAGCCAGATCAAGCAGGATCACAAGATAATTTGGTGTCTGTCTAAAGAAGTCTCCTAAAAGCTTTTAAGTAATAAGTGAAGTGGCCAAATTTGCATTTTAAAAATCACTGCCATTGCAATGTAGAGAAGAGATTAGAAAAGGGGCAAGTGTTTCTGCATAGAGACAAGTAGGAGGTTTTTTCAGTGGTTTAGGGGAGAGTGGGTGGAAGTGGAGATGAACAAGGAGATTTAGAAAGTAAAAACAGACTGGCTTGCAAAATGCACAGCATATGGGAGGTAAAGGAGAGATAGCTCCTATATTTCCAGCTTGTATAACTCTGTATGTGGTGTTCTCTAAGTTACACAACATATAAGCTGTTCTCATATCATCAGTGATGGGGGGAGGGGGTACTTCCCCCTCAGTCAGTGGTTCACATTAGCCAAATTCCAAATTACCTGGACAATATTTCTATTAACTAAAACCCGCCTTATCTCAGCTCTTATCTTCAACAGTCTAACATTATTTGATACCACTGACTCCTACACTTCCTAGAAATCATTTGGATTCCCTAAAATCTCCAGATCCTCTTATCTGTCTGAATGCCCCTCTGAATCCCACCACTACTCTTTTTCCTTTGATTCTGTAGATTTTTATTAGAGTAGAGATTGGTCTCATCCACTCCCTTAGCTTCAACTGTCACCTCAATAAGGATGTCCCCTAAAATGGAATCTCCACACAATGCTTCAAAAAGGAATAAGGAATCTCTCTATATATTGCTAGGGAGGGATCTCTAGTACTATATAAAGTAAAATTTAAAAAGGGAAGCAAAAAAGCAAGCATGACACTGTTTATTTAAGAAAAGATGGGGTTTGGGTGGGATGACTTATTTGCTTATATTTTTATTTTTATTTTTTTAAATGTTTCTTTATCTTTATTGTTGAGACGATTACAGATGTCCCCCTTTTATTTTATTTATTTTTTAAATATATCTTTATTGATTTCAGAGAGAAGAAAGGAGAGGGAGAGAGGGGGATAGAAACATCAATGATGAGAGAGTCATTGATCGAGCCTGCAACCGGGCATGTGCCCTGACCAGGAATCGAACCCCGANGAGAGAGGGGGATAGAAACATCAATGATGAGAGAGTCATTGATCGAGCCTGCAACCGGGCATGTGCCCTGACCAGGAATTGAACCCCGACTGCCTGGATCCTAGGTTGATGCTCAATCGCTGAGCCATGCCCGGCAGGCCAGATGTCCCCCTTGATCCCCTCCACCCTCAGGCCCTCCCCACATCTCCCCTTGGTGTGGGGAGGGCTTATATTTTTAAAACGTGTAAAATTACTTAAAATTATATATAAAATAATATTAAAAATAAAAGGATAAACCATTAAGGAAATTAAATGGTTACCTACAAGGCAGAGAATAAATAAGGCAGACGGGCAAATGAGACAGAAATAGAAGTCTGAGTTCTCTGAATACACCCTGTATTGACTTTACTTTAGAACTACATACAGTGGTACCTTGGTTTTCGAACGTCTTCGTTGACAAGCATTTCGGTTTACGAACACTATAAACCTGGAAGGAAATGCCTTGGTTTTCGAACACGCCTCGGAAGTCGAACATGCCACACGGCTTCCACTGAGGGCAAGATCCTGAGGCCTAGCTGTCGGCTGTTGATCCCTCAGTTTTCGAACGTTTCAGAACTTGAATGGTCTTCAAGAATGGAGTACATTCGCAAACTGAGGTACCACTGTAAATATTTTATATGTTGTTATACAAATTTAAATTTTAAAAATTAAATCCCTAAACATCAAAAGCAAAAATGAAACAAATGAACCTGCCTATCAAGTTGGTGGCTTAACCACAGAGAATAACTATTTACTTCAAGTAGCTTTAAAAGGTGATGATCTGATTAAGTATCTCCAGTGCATACATATATTCTGGCTGTCTTTCTTGTTTTCTGTTTTGATAGAAACAACTCTATTCTTCTATACTCTTACTCTGCAAGCCATATTTATGCTTTATGAGCTGGTTTCACATTAAATTCCAAGAATAGGTGGTGCTGCAATGCCAGAGGAAGAATCAACTTGATTGTCTTAATGGGCTTCTTATTTGCTAGCAATTTCTATGCACATCATACACACCAAAGCTGCTGCACCCCAGCAGCAGCAGCAGTTCCTTCCCATAGCAACAGTTAGCTCCACCTTGAAGTTTTTCTAATACTAGTAAAACCAGCTTTAGAGATACCATCTTTAGAAATACTAACATCATTGACCTACTCCTGCTCCTCTGAGGTCTGAGATTTCAAGGCACAAGGCTCAGAGACCATCACAGGACAAGCAGAGCCTCCTCTTCAGATGTTTTAAACTAACATTCCATAAGGCCCATCCTCTAACTTAAAATATTCCAACCTTTCGTCTTTGTTCCCGAAGCAATCTTGAAACAGAACAAAGTTAGAGGTATCATGCTACCTGATTTCAAACTACATTACAAGGCTAGAGTAACCAGAACAACATAGTACTGGAATAAAAAGACATATAGATCAATGGAACAGAATAGAGAGCCCCAAAATAAACCCACACCTATATGGTCAATTAATATATGACAAAGGAGGAAAGAATGGGGTAAAGATAGTCGCTTCAATAAATGCTGTTGGGAAAACTGGACCAATACGTGCAGAAGAATGAAACTGCACCACTTTCTTACACCATATACAAGAATAAACTCAAAATGGATTAAAGACTTAAATGTAAGACCCGAAACTATAAAACTCCTAGAAGAAAACACAGGCAGTAAACCCTTTGATACTGGTCTTAGTAATATTTTTTTTGATGTATCTTCTTGGGCAAGGGAAACAAAAGAAAAAACAAACAAATGGGACATCAAACTAAAAAGTTTTTATACATAGTGGAAGGACACCATCAACAAAGCAAAAAAACAACTTAATGAATGGGAGATATACCCAAATGATACATCTGATAAAGGTGTTAATATCCAAAATACATAAGGAACTCATACAACTCAACACCAAAAACCAAATAATCCAATTCATAAATGTGGAGAGAACCTGAATAGACACTTCTCCAAAGAGGACATACAGATGGCCAACAGACATATGAAAAGATGCTCAACATCACTAATTACCAGGAAAATGTAAATTAAAACCACAATGAGGTATCACCTCACACCAGTCAGAATAGCTATCAGCAATAAATCAATAAACAAGTATTGGTGAGGATGTGGAGAAAAGGGAACCCTCTTGCACTATTGGTGCAGTCACTATGGAAAACAGTATGAAGGTTCCTCAAAAAGTTAAAAATAGAACTACCATTTGATCCAGCAACCCCACTTCTGGGTATTTATCTGAAGAAATCCAAAACACTAATTCAAAAACACATATGAAACCCTATGTTCACTGCAGCATTATTTACAGTAGCCAATATATGGAAGCAACCTAAATATCCATCAACAGAAGAATGGATAAAGAAGTTGTGGTACATATATACAATAGAATAATAGTCATAAAAAAGAATGAAATCTTGCCATTTGGGACAACATGGATGGACCTAGAAAGTACTATGCTAAGTAAAATAAGTCAGAGAAAGACAAATGCCATATGATTTCACTCACATATGGAATCCAAAAATAAAATAAACCAACAAACAAAACAGAAAAAAACCATAGGCACAGAGAACAAATTTATGGTTGCCTGATAGGAGGGGGTTTGCAGGGACTGGGTGAAAAAGATGAAGGGATTGAGAATTACAAATTGCCATTTATAAAAATAGTCATCAGGATGTAAAGTGCTGCATAGAGAAAACAGTCAATAATATTTTAATAACTATGTATGGTGTCAGATGGGTACCAGACTTAACAGGGTGATCACTTCATAAGTCATATAAATGAAACTAATACAATACTGTATGTCAACTGTAATTGAAATTTTTTTAATTAAAAAAACCCCAAAAACATAAATTAAATAATTAACATTACAAAATGAATTAAAATGGTTTCTGATTATACCCAAACTGTCAGTTTATATATGTATATATATAATGTATAATGTATATACATAATATATAATGTATGTTATATATATTTATACATATACTTAATATACATTAATATTTATTTCAATAATAAATATGAACACATCACTAAATATATTAATATTTATTTTTTGTANTACATTAATATTTATTTCAATAAATATGAACACATCACTAAATATATTAATATTTATTTTTTGTATTTNATATACATTAATATTTATTTCAATAATAAATATGAACACATCACTAAATATATTAATATTTATTTTTTGTATTTGGAGAATATAATTATGTCAATGTAATTAAGAACCAACATTTCTAGTACTGTAGAAGTGAGATAAATATAAAATCAAAAAGGTAAAACCTGCCCTGGCCAGGTGGCCCAGTTGGTTGGTGCATCATCCTGTACACCAAAAGGCTGTGGGTTTGATTCCTGGTCAGGGCACATACCTAAGTTGCAGGTTCCATCCATGGCTGAGGCCCATATAAGAGGCAACCAAAAAAATGTTTCTAACTCTCCTTTCCTCTCTCTCTAAAAATCAATGAAAACATATCCTTGGGTAAGGATTTAAAAAAAGGTAAAACCCTACAAACATCCACTTCTCATGAGTCACCTCTGAAAAATGCTAAGAAACTAAGGCACTACTCTAAAAATTAGTAAAGAAAGGGAAAGAATCAATGTTTAACCTACCTTCCCTTTTTAACCAAAGAATAGAGAAAGCAAGCTCTTTCCATCTCAGTGATGAAATAAAGGGGAATGATAGAATGATTATGTCATTGTTTTACAAAGCCCTAATGAAATATGGGATTTGGCAGTGATCATTAATGGACATGAACATCAGGAAAGAGAAAGACAACCAAACATCAGATGCCTCCCAACTAAAATACATATGGACATATGAGAGAAATACTTAAATGCCCCCTCACCCCTTTCCACCCCTGCATCCAGTGGGACCTGAATCTAACCCAGCCTCTACATTTTTATTATCAGTTTACACAAAAAACAGGAGAGAGAGAAGCACATTAAATAACTTTACGGAAATGGACAGCAAAATTCAGAACAGGGCTAACTTTACAGAACTAACAACCCAGTTCCTCCAACAAATATGTTAAAAGAGAGGAAAAAGAAAGCCAGTGAGGCAAAGAGGTAATTTGAGATTACATAAAAGATATTTTTGAGATAAATCAACCAAATGCATTCATTGTGTGTGCCTTATTGGATCCTTATAGAAACAAACCACTGTTTTAAAAAAGAAACTGCAACAAACAAATATTTGGTCAGTGTCTGGAACTTCGATGACATTAAGGAATTACTGTAAATTTTTACATATAAATTAATATGGTGGTTGTATTTATAGAAAAATTTATTTTCCCATAGTAATAAATACTAAAATATTTATGGAATAGATGATATAAATCCTGGGATTAACTTTAACATAATCTAGTGTGTAGGGGGGAAATGTCAGGTTATCCTACATAAAACAAGAGTTGATAACTATTGAGGTAGGTAATGGGTACATGGAAGTTTGTTATGCTAAAATGTCAATTTTGGGGAATGCTTGAAATTATCCATCACAAAAAAGTTTTAAAAACTTTATCTCTAAACTCTTCAAAGCTCCAGTGGAAGCACAGAAGACATCTCTATCTTATAGACAAACTAATTACATTCAAAACCACTTCTCTATACCTGTCTACTTCTCTGCCCTCTTTATTTCTGTTGAAAGGAACCACGATCCTGGCCTCTCTCATCTTTCACATGCAATCAGGTGTATCAAGTCCTGAGTGGACGTAACTTACTTCTTCCTTTCCTTATCACCACCATGCTAGTTCAGCTCTCACTCTCACTTAGTGCGCTTCCTAACTCCAATTCATCCTACATTATTACCTCTCTAGTCTTTAAACCCAAATATCCCTATAAGCACCTTATTCTTTGAACCGAATTTAATACTCTCCCCATCTCCACTTATTTAAAATTGTCTACTGGACTCTATCTCTAGTTTAATTGATAACTTCTTTTATGTTTTTGTAACAAAAGCAGAGTAAATAAACTTACTGAAAACTAATTTATTATAAAGAGGTATAAAGCAGCCTCTTAAAATTGTCCTTTAAATTTGAATCCCTTCGATTCTCACCTTTTATCATAATTTCATGTGGTATCATTACTCCACCCTGGTGATTATTTATGCTGCTTTGCTTTTGAGTTTTCTGGATTGATCACATGTACTACTAGAGTTCACCTAATAAACTATAATTAATGTGTGATATGACTACAAAATACATCTAAGTATTATTATATATAAAGCAAAGTGATATGGCAGTCTAGACAACAGAAACAAAATCAGTAGTATTCAAAAGGGAACTTTCAGAGGGGTTACTTGACACTGTAGCTTGCTTAAATAATGATAATTTCATTCCTTAAAGCTGGTTTCACAACAGTTAGAAAAGTTAATTCTCTGCACCAAACCCTGTTCTGGTCTTGATGAAAGTTCACATTAGGAAGAGTTGTGTGTATTTTTGAAACAAAAAGAGGTATTTTAGTTAGTAGTGGTGGTCATGTTCATTTAAAGTGAACCCCAATTTCCTATNTTCATTTAAAGCGAACCCTAATTTCCTATAGTTCCCAGGCGGGGAATATGCTGAAAATGAAAAGTACAGAAACTTGGCAGTGTGACTACTGAAGAGTCCTAAACATTACTTTTTAGATTTTTACATTTTAGATTAATAATCATTTTCCATACTCAGATTCGGTTCCTTCACAGATCTGTTCCAAATTAAAGAAACTGCCTAGAGAAACTATCAATGAGTCATGATCCAAAAATAGACTAATACACTACACTTATTTAGCACATACTGCAGAATTATAGCTCACCTCTGATGGAGTACATACACTAGGAACCTGACATTTAGATTTAAGAGGTCAACAGAAATGTTCCACCTGTGGGTTTATGGAAGTAGGGAAAAAAAAACATCACTGGACCTCTAAATGCAATACCTTGGACAATGCTACCAAATGAGGCTTTCAAAGAAACACCATGTAGAAAACAAGACTTTTTTAAAATGTAGAAACTGTACTGGATGAAAAACATGAAATTTCCATGTGTATCATTATAGAGGTTATCATTAAAACAAAAAAAATTTTTAAGGGGGGGGCTTAAAAATCTAATTATCAATAACAGAATAAAATTACAAAGAAATAAAATGAAATGATGTCAAATATAGAATAAAGGTTTTCTCTGACAGGAGAGGGAAGGTAGGGGTGTCATCAGGGCTTTTGTATTGGCCCTGTTCTACTCCTTAAGATGAATTATTCATTGTTCTTTCTACGCATACATCCCTCTAAAACAGTGCATCGTTTACAAAGATAAATGCTCTAATGTCTGGCACCTGTCATTTTTGAGCCCTTCAGCATTTCAGGCCTCCACTAAGAGGAGAGAAAGATTCAAGACAATACACTTACCTGGTTAGACTTTTCCACTGTACTGCTGGGAACCTCAGTAGTATCCTTCACAAAAAAATTATCTATGATGTGTCGCTCTGCACATTCTTGGCTACAAACTGGACATCGAATGACTCCAACTGAAAATGACATAAAAATTGAGATATAACTGACATAACATTATATTACTTTCAGGCATACAATATAATGATTTGATATCTGCATATATTGTAAAATAATCACCGTAAGTTCAGTTAACATCTATCACTATACACAGTGACAAAATTTTTTCATGTGATAAGAACTGTCAAGATCCGCTCTCCTAGCTGCTTTCAAATATGCAATACATTATATTGTTAACTACAGTCACCATGCTGTACATTATATTTCCACGACTTATTCTACCAAGCACTAAATCTACATATCATCCAAACTGTGAATAGGTTATAATATTCACTCTCTTCAAATTCATACCTGCTACTACTTAACACAAAGCAATTCAGTTTATGTACATATGATTATACAAATGTGTGTGTCTATACATATCCTGCACCTAGTATATTAAATGAATAAATCCTCATAATTTTAAATGAGCTACCCCTTCCAAATAAATATCCTGTACAGTACTCTTTTTATTGTTTAGCAACTTCTCTAACAGTGGTTTTCAAATAGGGATATGCAAAAGACATGGGAGATTGCTGAAAGAACAGAAAGCTCTGCTTCTCTCTGGACCTGCAGAATCAGGATTTGTGAACATAGAGCAGACATACTTGTTTTATTTAAAATCTCCTTGGGAGATAAAGAAACACTATTCTGTTTCCCTTTAACAAAAGCAAGTAATGTTCATTTGGGTAGAGAGGGAAGAATCATCTTTCATAGTGCTTGGTAAAACAATAAATAATTATGAATAAGTTAATAAATTTTAATTAAATTTTTAAATATTTAATATAAACTTGATGCTGTAATTTGTACCAAGGAGACTGCAATAAGGTTCTCAGATAACGTTTTGCAAAATAACATGCATAAGAATGAACACAAAATAATCCAAAGGTCAATTTTTATTTGTATATACAAGCCCTAAACAAATCTTTTAAATTTAAAAATCCATTTTACAATAGCAACAAAAGTATATTATTAAGTACTTAGGAATAAATTTTTAAATATTTGTAAGACCATGTGGAGAAAAATGCCAAGCTATATGTAAAAACCTTAAAATAGCCCAGCTGGTTTAGCTCGGTGGTTGAGCATCGATCCATGAACCAGAAGATCACAGTTTGATTCCCAATCAGGGCACATGCCCGGGTTTCGGGCTTGATCCCCAGTGGGGGGCATGCAGGAGGCAGCCGATCAATGACTCTCTCATCATTGATGTTTCTATCTCTCTCTCCCTCTTCCTCTCCCTCTCTTTCTCTATGAAACCAATAAAAACATTAGAAAATAAATAAATTAAATAAAAACATGAAAATATATCTAAGTAATTAAAAAAAACATGNAACATTAGAAAATAAATAAATAAAATAAAAACATGAAAATATATCTAAGTAATTAAAAAAAACATGTTCATGAAGATGTCAAGTCTCCCCAAACATATCTACAAACTCAATGCAGTTTTAATAACACTCTCAACAGGAATTTCAATAGAATTTTTCATTGAAGTTAATTAAGAACTACAACTAGTCAAAAGGCTGCTATGAAGAAAGTGAGAAAACAAGATCCAAACTGGGAGATCTACACAACACATATAATTAAAGTCTGTAAATATGTGACAATGAATTTTGCATAAGAGAAAGACTGCGTAAACACTTTTTCCTTAATCCTCCAGATAAGTATGGCTAAACCTCTAGACATTCTATATAAAACAATCATAAGACTGAAAAGGTAGAGTTAAGGTGGTAGACCAGCTAGAGAACTCAGAACCCAAGGAACCTACGTTTTCTTTTAGCCTTATATAATAAAGTGTGTGTTCANCATTCTATATAAAACAATAAGACTGAAAAGGCAGAGTTAAGGTGGTAGACCAGCTAGAGAACTGAGAACCCAAGGAACCTACGTTTTCTTTTAGCCTTATATAATAAAGTGTGTGTTCATGAAGCCACCATCCCCAAAACTCTAACAGATATAAAAACAAGAAGTACCCAGAAGCATGATTCCTCTANTGTTCACGAAGCCACCATCCCCAAAACTCTAACAGGTATAAAAACAAGAAGTACCCAGAAGCATGATTCCTCTATCCAAAGGACCAGGAAAAGGGTAGTCTAGCAACACAGAAAACTTTTAGACAATAACTACTCTAGTCCAGTCAAACACCACAGGGGGTGAGGGTGGGGATGTGCTTCCCTTTCCCACCATCAGAGGCCGGTGGGACGACTACACTTCCCACCTTGGCCGAACAGAAACCAGGTGCCCTAGCTATCCCCTGCTGGGCATGTCGGAGAAGTCTGGTGGGGATTGAGGCTCTGATACCTTCCCATTAAGTTGTAACAAGGCCCCCTGCAGTGTCACTGGAGACCATCTGTGGAGTGAATCTGACAGTTAAGAGTAAATATGTTTCGGTATTAGGTCATAGAGTCTAGAGTTGTAGGTGTAGGCTTGAATTAAATGTTTCAATTGCTGTGGTTGTCACACAGTTTATAGTCAAAGATTAAGAAAGTATGTTAGTCATGTCCTAGAGGCCTGCCTGTAAAGCAAGTTCCAAGAAAAAAATGTTTAAAAGTATACTTTGCTTGAGATAACAGAAAATTGTAACTAGTTAAGCATAAAACAATTGATAGCTTAAACAAGAAGGTCACAAAATGTTTAGTTTCTGCCTTTTGCTTTTAAAATTACATCACTGATGCACAATTACAAGATGTTTTGCAGAATTTTGGTTGCTCAACCTGTTCAGATCGCCTGTCCACAGTTTGAAGGCTCCAGACAAGATGATGTCAGGAACTAAATTAATCAGACTAGAGAAAACCACTGAAGTTTGCACAAGAACCAACCAATCAGCTTCGTCTGTGATCCCTAACCCTCAATCTTTGCCTTTAAAAACCCTTGACTGAAAGTCATCCTGGAGTTCCGGTTTTAAGTGATAGCTTTCATTGTCCTTGCTTGGCACCCTGCAAATAAAGAGCTTCAATTTCTCCACTGCAAACCTCGATGTTTAGTGTTTGGCTTCTCTGCTAACTGGGCAAGCACACCCTCATTCGATTTATTAACAGGAGCCTAAACTTGCACCTCCAGCATGGTAATGAGATACCCTTCCACCTCTATGCTGTGATGGATAGTAAGGACTTTTATCACTGCCTACCAGTAACCTNCCAATTTCTCCCCACTGCAAACCTCGATGTTTAGTGTTTGGCTTCTCTGCTAACTGGGCAAGCACACCCTCATTCGATTTATTAACAGGAGCCTAAACTTGCACCTCCAGCATGGTAATGAGATACCCTTCCACCTCTATGCTGTGATGGATAGTAAGGACTTTTATCACTGCCTACCAGTAACCTCCCTTCCCTGCCCGTGTGCCCACTCCATAAATGTGTCAATGAAAAACATATGGAAAGCAGTAAATAGGCACCCATGCCCCTACCAGCCATGGAGGTATCAACAGAGGCTGAGGGGGAGCCTGAACTTTCATGCTGCCCACAGTAAGGGGGAGGCTCTCCCACTCCAGGTGTCAAGGGAAACAGTGCACAGAACATAGACTTCAATTTCCACTTCACAGGAGGCATAAAATAATAAATACAAGAGCAGAAATCAATGAAATTGAAAACTGAAAAGTCAGTGAAACAAAAAGCTGGTTATCTGAATAAGTCAATAAACTTAACAAGCCTCCAGCAAGATTGATGAAGACAAAGAAGACACAATGAAAAAGTGGCTCAGCAGCTGAGAGTCGACCTAGGATCCAGGTGATCGGGGTTCGGTTCCCGGTCAGGGCACAGGCCCGGGTTGCGGGCTAGGTAGCCAATCAATGACTCTCTCATCATTGATGTTTCTATCTCTCTCTCTCCCTCTCCTTTCCTCTCTCTGAAATCAATAAAAATATATTTTTTAAAAAAGAAAAGAAAAGAAAAGAAAAAGGGAGTATCACTGCAGACGACCTAGACATAAAAATAGGGGAATACCAAGAGCACGACTCCTACAAATGTAACAATGTAAGTGAAAGGAACCAAATCCTCAAAAAGCACAAACTACCACAACTCAACCAATATGAAAAAACTTGAATACCCCTGTAAGTATATGGAAGTTGGCTCTAAACAACTTTAAGGGTAAACCTAACAAAATATGTATAGAATTTGTATGCTGAAAACTACAAAATACTGATTTTAAAAAAAATCAAAGAAAATCTAAATAAATGGAGAGGCACAGTGTTCATGGATAGGGATAATCAATGTAGTAAAGGTGTCAATTCTCTTTAATTCGATCTACCGGTTTAACACAATTCCTAATATAATCCCAGCAACATTTTTTGTAAATTTAGACATTACTTTATGATTTATATAGAAAGGCAAATGCATGGTAATAACTAAATCAATATTGAAGAGAATAATAAAGTAGAGAAATCACTCTATCCAATTTCAGAACTTATATAGCTACCATAACCAGGAATGTCTGACACTGACCAAGGGAAGGGACAGACACAGAGATGAATAAAACAAAATAACCTGAAACACACACACGCAAGTAGCGCCACCTGACTTTTGACAGATGTAAAACCATCACTATGCTGACAAGTACAAAATGCTGATAATATACTACGTTCATGGGTTGGAAGACTCAGTGCAGTGAAGATGTTAATTCTCCCCAAACTGATCTACAGCCTAAACAAGATTTTATTGTATAGATAAGATTATTCCAAGATTTAAGGAAAAGGAAAGGAGCTCAAAGAGCTAAAGCAATTTTGAAAAAGAGAAAGTGGAAAGAATCACTATCCAATTTTAAGACTTACATAGATGTAGTAATTGGGACAGGGTGATACTGGCAGGATAGAAACATAGGTAAAAGGAACAGAATAGAGCATCCAGAAATACATCCATAGAAGTAAGCCCAAATGATTTCTGACAGAAGTGTGAAAACAATTCCGTGAAAGAAGGAAAATCTTTCAACAAATTGTGCTGGAACAACTGGTAGTCATAGGAAAAAAATTAAATCTCAACCTAAA